CTAGTTTACCTTCTGGCGATACAAACTTCTAGGGGGAAGAACAAGGAAAGAATTACTAAAGTTCTTCAGGTAGTGCTATGAGCTGCTCTCACCCAGTAGTCCCCACAAAACCATTCTGAGGGTGCCTGTTGTGCTCCCTGAAAGTGAGAACCAAACTGACAACAGTCATGGAGTGTGTTAGCATTTGTTTCAATCTGTACTCCTCAAGACGTAGGGTCGAGGGATTTCAGGGATTCCCTTGGACCATATGGCACCAACAAGGAATGAAGTCTCTGTGGGGACTCTCATGTACTAGGCTATCTGGAAATACAGAAGTTAGTCTTGCTAGCTGAGTAGAGATGTGTTTGTTCCTCTCACGAGGACTACAGAAATAAAGACTCTGTAAGAACATACAACAGTGTCCCAGGGAAGAAAGACCATTGATACCATGGAACGTTCCCAGGTCTGCAGGATACCAAGTGACTGTCCTCCTTCTCCATATCACTCTGGCCACCTAGGGAACAGGAGGGCTAAAGCCTCAGCAAAGTTCAGGTCTAACCCCAGCAGAAATAGGGCAAAGAGGAGGGGAACCTGGTCATGATATCAAATACGGTCTTAGTTTCTATCTCCGCTGTGATAAGCTATTTTTAAATTTGTCTTTATTTTATGTGTACGGATGTTTTGCCTGCATGTATGTCTGACATGTGTATGCTCAGTGCTCACAAGGGCCAGTAGAGGGCATGGGATCCCCTGGAACTGGAGTTACTAACAGTTATGAGCCACCATGTGGGTGCTGGGAATAGCCCCCCCCCCCCCCCCGTATCTTCTGCTGAGCCATTTCTCCAGAGCATGGCAAATTGTTTCTTAACAAGGATTCTTTCTGTGGCCCAGAACAACTGAAAGCTTGTCTGCTACTCACTCAGGAGCAGGTCCTCGCCCTTGGCTACTGCCTGGATACTTTCAAAAGGAAAGTGCCAAAGGCTAACCCGAGAACCACTAAGTGGGACAACTAAGGCCAAGCCTCAAGAAAACACACCAAACTGAAGGAAGGCAAAAATACAAAAATACCGCTTGAAAGTCTGTTCGTGTCTGTCTGTCCCCCCCCCCCGTCCCCCCTTTCCCCCTCATGTCCCTCCCCCCCCCCACTCTAAGGCCTAGCAAGGCCACCATGCAGGGAGTCAAGGACACCTGCTCCTGGAAGCTGATCTTACAGGGACAATGAAAACCAAAGATAAAATAAAATTAGCACAACTTCCACAACTTCCTCAGTGTGCGAGACAAACCCTGAAGCTCTCTCAGTTTCATTCAGCAGCTGGAAACTGAGTCTTCCACTTTGATCAGGGGCCACACCAGCCAAAACTGGGCTCACCTCTTAAAGGCAGGGCCCAAAGCAGCCAGCTGCAGTGCCTGCAACCTAGCATAAGTTCCTCCTCTCTTTCATGAAGTAGGCCAGGTTTCCAGTAACTAACGTTTGCAGAAGACACTGCGTCTTGTGGACACCTAGAGACCAGATGGAACCTATCACTCCACAAATCGTCCTGGGTGGGTCCCTGTAGACAGGTGCTACAGTCCAAAGACCTTGCTGTGCTGAGTCTCCCTAGTGCCAACCTCATGCCTTCAGATCTTACCCATGGCGCCCTGCGCCTCAGCAGCCTTGCTGCTCCTCTAGCCGTCTCCCCCCATCCAAAGAAAAAGCACAAGGTCTGGCCCCAGGCCATGTTTCCACTACCCAGAAACAGTGGCTAAAATCTCAGCCCAGGCCCAGGCTGTCTGTCTGCTTCAAACTTGGCAGAGTTTTGGTGTAGAGAATTTTTTTTAAATCTATGTTTTGATTTCTTGCCGTATTCTTCATTCTCTGTCTCCTAAAACAAATCCCTCAGCAGAGTGACCGTCCACTAGAAAACTGAGATGACTGAGGGACCCAGCCCTCAGGGTCACCAGAACTGCCATGCTAGCTCTTGTGGCTTTGTATGTTAACGCAGCCGACACCACACTGAGCCAGGGCTGCTCCTCCAGGCTGTGACTTGGGCTTTATTCCTTTCCTTTCTTCATAATCACCAAAAATGCCATCAGTGAAATCAGATTAATTCTCACCACAAGGTTCCTGGGAGCTAGGCATCACAAATCACTCCCTGATGACCATAGAAATGCAGCAAGAATAGAGTCAGACTTGACCTTCGGCTGTCCTTAATGTGGAATGCACCACCAGGGATATGGCGGCTATATTTCTTCTCTCTCTCTTTTTCTATTTGTTTCTTTAATTTTAAGGTGGTTGGAAAAGAAAGGAATCGATTCTAAGGACGGCTGTTATCTGAATGCTACGACCGTGAATCTCATAAATATCCAGCCAGACTCCCTCCCACAGCCGCCTGAGGTCAATCTCTAATTAGTCATGTTGGTTTATGGCCCACCAGGGCCCCCTCCATCTACTGTCACCGAAGACCAAGTCTCCATAATTTTCTTTTTCATTTATTATTCCTTGATTGCTGGCCTTTGAATAAACAGTTAAAGACAACAATAAATCAGTCTTTTCTCCAAGCAGATACTAACAGTTTGCTTGCCTTTCCTTCCATACTGTGTGTGCCCAGCTATGTGCATGCTTGGTATTTGTAGCTCTGGGGTTCTTATACGAATGCACGAAGGCACCAGAAGAAGGTTCCAGGTGTTTCCCTCTACCGCCCTCCACCTTACGTCTTATGGGGTCCTTTGCTGAGCTGAAGATCCCCTTTTTAGTTAGGTGGCTTGACCAACGAGCTCTCAGGGTCTACCTGTCTCTCCTCCCCAGTCCTGGGGTTACAACCACAAAAGGCCATGTCTAGCTCTGACATGGATGCTGGGTATTTCCTGATCGTCCTGCTTCCGCAGCAAGTACACTTGCCTTCCTGAACCATCTCTGCTGCCCCATATTTTTATTTTAAAGACATAATAAAAAACGAGTAAGTGAGTCCCAGGAACAAGGAGGAGGAAAAACAACTTTACAAAATTTAGTTTAATTTAGGGCTCAGGCACCTGCTGTCAAGTCTGATGACCTAAGTTCCGTCCTTAGGACCCAAGTGGTGGAATAAAGAACTGACTCCTATGAGCTGTCCTTTGACACACACACACACACACACACACACACACACACGCACGCACGCATGCACACGCACATGTGCACACACACATGCACATACACACGTACACACGCACACAAATAAAGCATAATATAAATTTAGTTGAGTTTTTGCTTTTTATAAATACATGTTTCCTTAACTAACTGAGAAACAACCTGCCCCAATTTATGATTAAGTCAAAAAGCAAAACTAACAACTGACGCATTAAAAAAGAGGCCATATGGATGAGAGAAGTCTAGTTCGGCCAAATATTAGCTTCACAGAGGAACGTTCAAAGGAAAACACAACAAAACCCATCTAAAACCAGCCCTTCAGTGTGTGACTTTCAAAGGGACAAAGACCTGCTTCTCAGAACTTTCAAACTCAGGGCCTTCACATGAATCAACTTTCATCCCAAAGAGCTCCAAAAAGGCCATTGATGGCAAAATCCAAATGCAGCCTAAAGTTCAAGGAGTTATACCACCCCAGTGTCCTGTTCTTCACGTGACAGATGGACCATAGTCACAGAATCTGTCAACGCTGGGAAGCCTGGGCAGAAGTTTCCAGAAACTCTCTGACTGTCTACAACTTTTCCATAAATCTAAAATTACTCACTAATAAAAATTTTACTGAAGAACAAACAAAAAGCCGCGGTCCCAAGATGGAGTGTCTGGCTTTATTCTGAAGCTCTTGCTCCCACAAGGACGCAGGAAGAAAGAAGCTCGCCCATCTAGAGATTTATTATAGCAAACACAGGCAAGCAGCTAAACTCCCAGTTAGGAGGAAGATTTAATGGGCATGACTACAACAACCAGGGCTGTCTAGGTGTCATTTCTGAGCACTGTTTGTTTTACGTACTACCGCAGGGCTGTTGGTGAAACTGGCATAACAAACTACATTCCCAACATGCTCACGGACCCTGAATATTTAGTAGACGTTGAGAAAATACCAAGGAAATCGGAGGTTCTCACGCAGAGAGTGGCTGCACTCTTGTTTATTGTCAGATAAATTCACTTTGCAGGAACGAAGGCAGCCTTGCAGGGATCACCTTTGCCCACAACGCTCCCTCACAAACCCCACAGGCAAAAGCTGTCCAAACAGCTGTTGCTTCACATCTCCATGGTTCTCTTTCCCCTTTGCTCTGCCACAGCACTGGCCTGACTCAGACTCACTCACCGCTACCGTAGTGAAGCGCTCTAACACGCAGTTCTCAGCACAAGGCAGGCTAGCCCTACAATGAGCAATCACCTGAGCAACAAGCCAGAGGGGACGAGACACTCTTCTGAAGGGCGGTAGCTGGAGTGGCAAAGGTGTGACCTCTGCCACACTATCACTGTGTCTCTGATGGAAGCTTTCCTGCTGCTCGGGCAGAACCTTCTCCCCTGATAGAAGGATTGCTTACCACAGCCGAGCAAGCAAGGGTCCCGGTATTGGTTTCTAACCCATTAATAAGAAGGCGGGATTCTGACCCCAAACGGATCTGAGGGTCAAAAATAACTCTTGACTATTTTATGAGTGACCGGTGACTCTGCTCCTGGTTTTCCGTGGGACTCAGCACTGTTGATGGGAGATCTCAGCAAACATGGAAATGATGTTAAGAATAACCTCATGGTTACCAATGCTCTCCCTCAGTAATCCCATGTGAATCTGATCACTGCTCAGATTGGCACATTCCCCGCCTTCTGGGGGTCACACTAGTTGCCTTCCTTGACACAACTTCATCCTGTGAACATTTTAGGCTGATGGTCTTTAAGAGACAACATCTCCACAAGGTTTCCAGTTCCTGGCTGTCTACTCTCCACATCTGCCATGAGGAGCAGATCTCCGGTGTCGCCAGTGCGACATTAAAGCCAGGCCGATGGCTTTCACACCCAGTAACTACTGTGCCGCTCTCCCTGCTCCCCAGGTGTAAAACCTCCAGGTACTCACCGTAATCAATTCCAGGTCGGCCCATGAAATGGGCAGAAATCTGTCTCTCGTCCTTCCCGTACTCGTTCTTGGCCATCAGAGTGTAGTCTCCGTTGTTCATGTGAGTGGGGTTGTCGAGCTGGAGGCAGCCGTGGTACTCCGTGTGGTTGGTCACGTGGATTTTAGTGCAGATGTATTTGGATTCGTTCAGTATGGCCCCGTTATAGAACCACTGGAGCGTGGGCTTGGGGTTGCCTCTCACAGTGAACGGGATGCACCAGTGATGGTCTGAGGTTGGAGACTCGAGGAATGTGATGGTTGGTGCAACTGAGCAAAGAGAGACGGAGTGAGTAGCACCGGACAGCTCGGACTCCTCCCCGCTGCGCTCTGCGCCATTAAGGGATTTTATTTAACCATCATTTAATTTAAGGAAACCCACAATCAGCAACTCTGGGTCAGTCATTTTGTAACATCCGACCGGTTTAGCTCCCTACCAGGAGCTTCAGAGAGCAGCTTGCCCTGCTCATGACTGACACAACATAGTGAGTCTCTGGGATAAGAAATGTTCATTGATGTCCACTTTGGCTTTGCTCATACACACACACACACACACACACACACACACACACACCTTAATATAGAAATTCATCATTAGTAATGAGAGACACTTTTTTATTAGCAGTTCTGCCTTAAATAATTAAAATAGCTATAAAAATTACTAAATTTAAATGGCTTGGGAAATGCTCCCTGACTCTCAGATCTCATGGGACACACCCTAAACTGGATCAGATGAGCCCACACAGTGACTGCTGCTGTTGCCATTGACTCGCCAGCATGAAGCATGAGAACCTTAAAACCGCTGTGGCCGTTGAATAGCAGACACACTTTCAGATGTGCTGAATTATAGTGTGGTCCAATTTTACCAGATTCTAATGTTTTAATTCCTGAAATGTCCGAGGTCTAATTTAAGCTTGAAAAACAGCCTGGCAATCATCTGACTTTAAATGTAAGCAGACCCTTATGCTTTGGGGAATGAGCAGGAGCGAGTGGTCTCTCTAAACGGACTACTCAGGACGAGAACCAGGTTGACATTTCTTAGTTAAGCACATACGAAAGCCCAAAATACACAGTCACTACCCATGGAAAGAACACACTGCTCTCGCTACGTACAATGCACAGTGAGGTTCACGGAATCTTGGTCTTCTCCCACAAGGTTTTCTGCCACACAAGAGATTTGCTTCCCACTGTCATCAGAGGAAATGTTCGTGATCCTTAAGGAGCCCTGCGTGTGGCTCGTCTCATTCTACAAATAAATTAACAGACAAAAAAAAATCTTGATTAAAATTGATCCCAAAGTATCAACTTTTATTCCTGAAATCGCGTATACATACACACACACATACACACTTACACACATATACAAACATACACTTGCACACATCACACACACACACATACACTTAAACACGCTATTAAATGTACACCATACACACACTTATACACACACACACACACACACACACTCTCTCTCTCTCTCTCTCTCTTCTTGCAGGTTCCGGCTCAAGTAATAGTAAGTTATTCTTTTGTTCCACCTTCCTCCAAGAGCAAAGACTATAGGACTGTCGCTTCCTTGCTCAGAATGGCACAGAATACATTATTATCTAAAGACTCTCCTCCAATAGGATGTGTACAGATAACTAAATTGTAATCTTGAATTAGCCTTATCTAATTAAGGATAAGTAGAAAGTAAATGATATCAAAAATTCCTTTTAAATGTCTACACGTGGAGCCATAAAACAAAAAAATATTGGGTCATTTTGACATCTGGTAAAGATGAGTAACTTGACAGTGCCGGGAAGAGCATCTCAGTGAAGGACTGTCTGGGTTAGATGAGCCTGCGAGTGATTTTCTTCACCAGATTCATTACAGTGGGATCAGCCACCCTAAATGTGAGTGATGCAGGTCATACTGTTTTGGTTCTGAACTCATTAAAAAAGTAATGAGTTGATACAAGCATGCATTAATTCGCTGTGCCCTGCTCTTAATTGTGAACTTAATATGAGCAGCTCCTTGAAGCTCCGGAGGCTGTGACTTCCCAGCTATGGTGGACTATAACCTAGAACTGGCCACCCAGTGAACCCTTGCTCTTTTAAGTCACTTTTGTCTGGGCCCGTTACTATAGCAACACAAAGGAGCCTGAGAGAGTAGGCATCAGTATGCTCAACACGATCTCTTCATCGTCAGCCATGAGACAGAACCAAATACGGGCCTTACCATGTGTTTGGAAATCAAATTCCCAACGTCCCAGTACAGCGTGGGGAGCGGGTCACCTGCCACACTGCAGGAAAGGGTGACAGAGTTCCCTTCCTCCACGGTGAGGTTAGGGGCAGCCAGACGTGCAGACGGTAGACCTATGAGAGAGAAAAGTGCACAGAAATGCACAGTTACAGCCAGAATCAAATGGCAAGACACACCCGCGTGCTCACAGAAGCCCGTTTTTGTTGTTGTTTTGAATTGTTTTGTTTTGTTTTTCAGGATCTCATTTAAGTCTAGAAACCTACCATCAGACCTACAGTTTGGGGGGATCGGATTGTCAAGGAGACCGAATTGGAAAGTATTTCTCAAGGATTAAACTCCAACTATGGCCATGTGAAAATCCTTCAACCAAAGTTAGAGCTAATTATTATGAATTACACTGACCTTCCCGTTCATACTAATGATGAGAACTTATATGAATCCTTATCACAATGAAAAATTGTGATGATTGTGAGGGGAAATGTGAACATTGCGCATATTTTTAGCATCTCAGTGGTATGGTTTTCCATCTTATGTTCCAAGAGCTCGACGGTTTTTATTCTAATTCCCGCAGTTTTCACTTCTTAGGCATCCCTCCTTCCAGGTGTGCACACTCCCCTTCACTGCCAAGAATCCCAGTACCCTTGACCTAAAGCTGGGCTGGGAGGGCTAATGGTGTGTTGGTCCTGCCAATCAAAGCAGCCCCCCTACTTTATTTGGAGGGGTTGTGTTTGCCCCAACAGTCAAGTCTCCTGGGACTGTGAAGAACCATTGTCTAAGAAGCAACTTGGAGGTCACAAAAGGAGCTACAATCGCTACTAAGTCACCTGCCATGATCCACACACAAACTCTTCGTTACTAAGCAACCCTCGCTGGCTAAGCCACTGTTCTTCAGTATTGAAGTCACGCTACACAATATATGTGCACAGTGTGTCTCATGGTGTTCTGACCACCGAGAAAGGACTCCCTAATAAAATCTTGCCTTCTTGGAATGCACCCTTCCCATAGTACCCAATGGAGAGGAATGTTACATCTGTTGGTGGTTTCAGAGAAGCCCAGGCTATCGTGAGTTTCACAAGGCAGTGAAACACACAACAATGGTTAAGAGCAAGCACAGGAAACAAAAAACAGGCCTTAGATATTAAGCCTTATTCATATGAACTGTGTGAATGAGGAAGCAGGTCAAGGCAGAATACCATTAAAGTTAATGATGTGGTCTGGGTAACTTCTTAAAAATATACATTGTCTTTATTTTGAGTCTAATGTGTAGTCTTGTCATTTAAGGAGTCTACAACCATACAGAAGTTGTTATTAAAAATAGTCAAGTTACGATGTGGAGAGTAGTGTGGCCCCACCTGGATGGCGCTAATTCCTGTCCCCAAGGGCACCCATCCATCTTATTTGCATTTCTTCTCTACTATTGATCCCCACCCCTCTAAATACGCTCACGCACCTATTTGTTGGCTCTTTGGGTGTAGAATTACCTGCTGCCCTCCTGCCAGGAGAGAGCCAGAGTCGACTCCATCTGTGCACCAGCCTTTCCCACATGCCCACTCCAGACTCAGCACAGCGCTGTCTGTGCATCTTTCCACATACTGCGAAGTCACACTTTCTACTGGGGACCTCAACTTTACCATGATATATAAACCTTATGGAGCGCAGAACTATCTGAAACCCACAGAATCTACTCAGTTATATTCATATCATTTTGAGGAAGAGACCATTCCGATTACTCAGCCCAATGGAAGGACGGCTGGACATTGTCCCAATGCACTGCTTCAATAAGGGAAAAGTCTATAAATATTAAAAAGATCAATATGTAAGCCCGTCGTGTTTTCTATAAATTCCATAAGCCTCAAGTCTACCTGGAGCTCCTCAGAACCTTTCATTCTCTTTAGAGAATGCATCTCCAATTTTCTCTTGTGGAAAGAGGGTCATGTTGCCTGGATCATATAGAGCAAAAAGCATATTAACTGGGAATACACAGCAGGTTTTCGGCCACTGTCTGCCATACTGTCAGCCACACTCATGCACAAGTCACATTTTTCCTTGGTTTCCTCCGTGGACCACTTGGTAACTGACCTTCTGACTGTTACTACACATCCATTGGCCTTCTAAGCTCAGCCTTCTGGTGTTGCCTTGGTTCCAGCTTCCTTGTGTTTACAAACTCATTTACTGACTCTAGGGTGACCCTGGGAGCCAAACTTGTTACCCCTATAAGCCCCTCCCAAAACCCATCCCAGTTATGGAGCTTAAAGACGTCCCTTTTGGGTACCCCAGCTACAGTGCTTTGGGAAGTGTGCTTCCCTTTATGAGTGTATCTTTATTTTAGATATTCTGATCAGAGAAAAGTTAAAATGGGCTTTGGTAGGATATGTTATGTCATAATTTTAATAATTCGGGCATTTGTTTACGGTAGCAGCAATAGTAACGTTTGCTGGGCTCTCACTAAAGTAGCTGCAGTGCGTTATCGCATCCTGATACCTAACCTTGAAGACAAAAACTTTGCATTGTTTAATTAATGAATGTAAGTATTATAAAAGTCAAGCACACTGGGTGGTGGTGGTACACAACTTTAATCCCAGCACCCGGGAGGCAGAGGCAGGCAGATCTCTGTGAGTCTGAGGCCAGCCTGGTCTACAGAGTGAGTTCCAGGACAGGTTCCAAAGCAACACAGAGAAACCTGTCTCAAGACAAGCATATCTTTCAAATTCGCCCAAACCAATGTAGACTGAGACTTAGACCTGAAATGAAGGGCCTTTCCCACCACACACTACAGAACTCTGTCCTCTGGGTCTGCCCTCACTCATCTCTGTACAGATCATACATACTATATCATATCCATGGTCTGAGGGTTTGACTCATTTGAAAAGAGTTCTCTGCCTGTTTTGTGGAGGAAGAATTGGGCTCCATATTATAAACTAGTCGGTCTGCCCTGTCATAAGAGTTTCCAAAGGAATCTGTGCAAAACTGGCCAAGCTTACATCTTTCAAATGTAAAGTCCCCTGCAAATGAGTGAGCACCTGTCTCCAGCATTGATATGCTGGCCAAGACCCAATAATGGAAAAAACAATCTGTACTTGAAATATCACTTGAGTCTTAATTAGCACAATAGAAATGAATTGGGAAGCATGGATCGCCAAAGCGGGGTAAACCACTTGCCAGGCACCACTTTCTGGCTTAATAAGATTTGAAATAAGGACAAGCACATAGCAAAGCTCACAGGGCTTCCAAAAGCTGCTAGCACACTGGATAGACCTGCTAGCACACTGGATAGCCCTGCTAGCACACTGGATATCCCTGAGAACACACTGGATAGACCTGTTAGCACACTGACCAGACCTGCTAGCACACTGGGATAGTCCTGTTAGCACACTGTAATAGACCTGCTAGCACACTGGATAGACCGACTAGCACACTGGATAGACCTGCTAGCACACTGGATAAACCTGCTAGC